CAACGTTTCAGGCGACAAAAGGTTATGGGGACGTCGAGCGCAGAATGTTACCACTTATTTTAAGTTGGGCAGTAACGGGGCACAAATTACAAGGGACCACATTAAACAAAGCTGTAATTGATCTTGGCAAAAGGAATTTTGCAAAAGGTCAAATTTACGTTGCACTTAGTCGTGTTAAAAGTCTAGATGGTCTAGTTTTATCTGATTTAGCGCCAAACAAAGTCCTAGTTAAACCTCATGACGAGCGAGCACTCGCAGAAATGGAAAGATTACGACGCTTACTTTTGCAAGCAAACACTGCAAATCAGCTTCCAGCGACTGACACGTAAAGAAACAAGCCAAGCCTGTTTTTTTTCCTTCTCTTTTATTTGCGGCCAATTGATAAAGAAATTGACGAAGTCTACTTACAGGAACAACTTTGAAAAATCACGGTCGCCATATTTCTTGCAGGGTAAGAATAAATCTTTTGCAATATCAGTAGTTATTAACAATTAACGAGTCCCATAAATGAGATAAATCTCTGTTACAAATGAGGTCATCTTGGGAAGATTTTCGAGATTCGAAAAGTTTCATCGCGTTCGGTGCATTTCTTACATAACAATACCAGAGAATAGGATTTTGCAATAACAATAGTTATTATACATGTATACTGATTTTCGGCCGACAAGACGTGTTTGTATGAACAGTAGAAAATCGGCGACTGCATGTCGACTCATACACCACCAAAGGCACGAAGGCATACGTAGAATTCAATATATAATATTAGTAACAATAGTTTTCCGCTAATTACTCGAAAACTAAAGCTTTCCCTTAATTGCGGATAAGGAAAAAGTTGTTCAGAATCATGCCCCTGATAACATATTAAAAACACATTAAAATCGTCCAATGTTGGTTTCAAAACTTTTCAACAATTTTTCACTAATATCTCGAAAACTAAAGCTTTCCGCGAAATTTGTATATGAACAAAATTGTTCAGAATCATGTCCGTGATAAGATATTAAAAGCGTACTAAAATCGAGAAAAGTTTATTTCAAAAGTTGCCGGTTTTTTTTGCAATAACAACACTTTGCAAATAAAAAATGAAAAATTTTTTGATAATGGTACCAATGGGGAGTCAGAACCTACCAAATGCAAAAGGTTTCGTTCCGATCGGTCCATCCAGTTAGGTGTAATCAGCGAACATACATAGGAAAAAAAAAATATACTGATCGAATTGAGTAACCTCCTCCTTTTTCGAAGTCGGTTAAAAACCCTAATATCTTCTTTAGCTTGTAGCTATCCTTGCTATAGACAGAGATCTGTCTCGGCAACTTAGGGGTATACCAACTACAGCAACGGCAATAGCCGCGGTTACAAAATATCACGCAACATGGTATCAGATCAACCACGTAAGTCACATATAGAGACTGAATTTACGTTTACGAATTCTAATAAATATTATTGTAACATGCAGGTAAAGGCTCAAGTAGATCAAATCAGACTTGATTGGGAGACGAACAACGTCGAAGTACTTCGAATTATGCAGATTTACGCAGTTTATGGAAGACGACTGGTAATACTTTTTGCGTGTAAGAAAAATATTAACAGTCTTGTAATTTTGAAATGATTTCAGCTTATATATAAAATGTTTTACAGCATTCTTTTATCCGGGATTCTGTATTGTATTACTATACCATATTTCTCCTATCATTTTGGATGTAATTATGCCCTTAAATGAATCTCGCCCAATAAAGTTTTTAATTGATTTCGAGTTCTGGATTGAAAAAGAGCAACATCCCATTTTCAATATTAGCCTAATTTTTCTAGTGGTGATCGTGACTGTAGCCGTACTGGTTGGGACAGAATCATTCACGATTATGATCTGCTTGCATACAGCTGGTTTATTTGATGTTTCAAGGTTCGGCTCAAATGTATTGCGTTTATCATCCATAAAATGCATGTATTCATAAATCGATTGAAACAATGATTTTTTGATATATATGAAAATATTTGTAGCGAGAAATTAATGATTTGCCGTTCAGTACCGCATTCGTTTTTAATATTCGTGTCTCTTAGTCTCCAATGAATTAAACCATGTTGTTTAGGCCACCCTAAATTCTGTGCAGCTACCTGCTTTCTTTATGACACACTCGGCTTCATTTGTAGTTAGTACAATAAAAAGCCTCAATCACCTATTTTAAAGATGAACAGGATAAATAGTCGTATAATGCACATATTTACGCCAATTTCCAACAGTTGTATTAAATTTCTAAAAAAGTGAAATGACACAACTGCGATGAACATTGTTGTAGAAATAGTGTACTTTTTCCTGTATCGATTACTTCTTTCTTTGATCACCCACTTACTAAAACCTTGAATCATGCATTCGAGATTGTTTAATGTAACGAATATTGTAAGGTAAATCGACTGCTTTGAAAATAAGAACGTGTATAGATATATCAATCAACTAATTCACTTATTATCTTCTACTATCTATACCACTCTTTTTTGAATGTTCTCATCTTTCATTTTCAGTTATTATTTCGAGAAAGCTGTTCTTTCGGAATCCGTACCATCATATCGTCCACAAAACAGTAAGAATAAAGAAATAGTCAGTTATACATATAGCTACTGGTGTATTTTTTCATCGAAAGGCCCTTCAGTAAGTACTAACAAATAGGTGTTGGCCTACAGCACTTTTAAGGTCTGCATTTCTCGTATTCAACACAATGTTCCGCGTAATTAATACGCTTACCTTTGAAGGGATTTACATGACGGAACCGAAAGGTACAAAGCGGCATACAGTTTCATCATCATACTGGGCGTTATTAATGCGAGCATCAATTTGTTTTGTGTGAGTAATTTATACAGCATAATTTTTTTATCAATTGAGGGCATAATTCTTTTTCCTAAAAAATAAGTGCAACAGGATTTTTAAATTGTTCTGTTTGTTCAAGCTTTCTTTGACGGTACATCAATTATCA